ACTTCTGCGCATGGGCCACGAAGTTTCAATCGCACTGTATGTGGCCGCCCGCACGTGGTATTTTGTGGAAGAGCCACATTCAAGGGGCCAAAGAGCCGCAGTTTGCCAACCACGGCCCTAGCGGGTTTGGCTCAGTCGATAGAGCGTCGGCCTATGGACTGAAGGGTCCCAGGTTTGATTCCTGTCAAGGACGTTGGTATTTGCTGTTTCTCCCCATTATTCTATCTCAGATTCAGATGTCACTTTGTAAGGCCTTTCCTGACCAACCTATCTAAGGCACTTCCCACATCTACTCCATGACAGGACCCTAGTTGATTATCTGCAGAGGGTGTCTCAATACTTGAAATTATCTTTTTTCTTTTTTTTTTTTTTTGCTGTCTCCCCATAGCCACTAGAATGCAAGTTCCTTGAGAGCAAGGATCTTGTCTGTTTGGTGCTTAAAATTGTGCCTCACACATAGTAGGTGCTCACATATTTGTTAAATGGAAGAAGTATATATAACTAAGCTTGCATCATGTCCTCGTGAGCCCGTAAGAAGTGACCGTCTAGCTTTGTTGAAGGCATTTTATAACTTCGCCTTCTTTCCCAGTGTTCCACTTGTACCTGTGGTCCAGTCAGTCCAGCCAGATCATATCCCCTGCCTGGAGTTTCCTCCTTGTCCTCTGTCTTCAAGAATGTACTCTTGCCTGGCCAGTGTGGCTCAGGGGTTGAGTGTCAACCTATGAATCAGGTGGTCACGGTTCGATTTCCAGTCGGGGCACATGCACGGGTTGTGGGCTCGATCCCCAGGGGGAGGGATGTGCAGGAGGCAGCCAATCAGTGATTCTCTCTCATCATTGATGTTTCTATCTCTCCCTTTCCCTTTCTCTCTCTGAAATCAATAAAAAAATTTTTTTAGAGTACTCTTGTTAATTTGCTCATTCAACTACAATAACTTACTGTTTCCCTCACCCTCTAGGGCATTTCAAATATGACATGGGAATGATCAATAAACAGGTAGTTATTACTTGATCAGAAGAAATGTTTAATTATTATTATTATTTTTTAATCCAGGAAAAGGGATAGGGAGAATGTTTGAAGAAGGATGTAAGGGCCAGGACCCTGCAGCACTGGCACAACCAAACCTCTATGAACGATTTTCTGAACTCAGGTGATGATTCTTTCTGTTGTATCCTCCTCCCCAAAGCAGAAAGGGACTCAGTATGGGAGCACAGATAGAAGGAAGGGTGGAATAATGTCAGAATATAGAGATAAAAGCTTCCTGAATTCTAAGCTAGCAGGGCCTCTGAGAGAGGTGAGGGAGGTGGAGCCAATTATTTAATGAGTCTTACTCCTGCCCCTCCCGTGTTTACCAAAGAGCTTGGAGACAGACCAGGCACCTGAGCCACTTTCTCCTTTCATTTATTCAGTCCTCTTTTTGTTCTTTTTATGATTATCAAAGTCATACAGGCTTCTCACTGGCAAAGTTTTGAAAAGCATCAAGAGTTAAGCAGAAATCACCTGTAATGCCAAATTATATCCACCATTAAAGTAATTGGTATATTTTTCCCAACAAAGTTCAAATTTAAATGAAAACCAAGGTATTACCTTGTAACATTTTTGTCATCCCTCCTCAAAATGTACTTTTAAGAATTTTAAATTGGTTCAACTCTATCCGGTTGCATTAAGAAATAGGATGACTAAACATTTGAACTGGCTCTGGAAGGGATTTCACACAGAGCAATGCAGAAAAAAGCCTTTTAACTTTGGCTTAACCTTTTTTAAAAAAGTGCCAATAGAATAAGCTAAAATGGGAAAGTTATTGAAGTATGCCCACTGGGTCACCAAACCCAAAGCTCCCGAAGGCCTCTTTTCCTGGCCAGGTGTAGCAGGGAATCCTCTATTCAGGCCAGGGCTCTTCTCTATTTCAGTTCTCTTTTTCTTTATTTAACTGAATACGTCTTCAGTTTTCATTATCTGTTTTGTCATTTTGGGGAAAACCCAGCTCTTCTTGTATGTCTCCATTATTCTCACACCTTCTACACTCACAACACCTCTGACACCAGAATGTGTGGGGTTTTCCCCCATCAAACAATACTCTGACCCCAGGTGGGTGTCCAAATTTTACTCAATTCTGACACTACCTGGAAATAGCCTCAGATTCCACAGGTTGAGGGCTCAGTCCCCTGAGACTGCCCCCCACTTCAGATGCCCATCACAAGTAGTGGGCCCCCAGGTTACCCACAACCTCTGTCTGACTTGGCTACAAATGAGATGTCCCTTTGACCCCTTCCTTGGGTTCTGCTACAGCGGCTCACAGAACTCAGGGAAGCAGTTACCTACATATACCAGGTTATTAAAGATATAAAAGATACAGATGAACAGCCAGGTGAAGAGTTACTGAGGGGAGATCTGGGGTGGTCCCTAGCACAGGAGCTTCTGTCCCTGTGAAGTTGGGGTGCACCATCCTCCCAGCTCATGGCTGTGTTCATCCACGGGAAGCTCCCCAAACTCCCTGCTATTGGAATTTTTATGGGTGCTTCCTCTTGTAGGCATGATCAGTTATTAACTCATTTTCCAGGCCCTCTCCTCTCTCTAGAGAAGTTGGATGCGGCAGGCCGAAAATTTCAGCTTCTAACTATGGCTCGGTCTTGCTGGTGACCAGCCCACATCCACTACCCCCCGAAGTCGCCTCAGAACAGAACATGCTCCTCGTGCTCTTATTATATGGAATGTACAAGGGTTTTAGGAGCCCTGTGTCAGCGATGGAGTCAAAGACCAAATATTAGCCCTCGCCTGTTTGGCTCAGCGGGTAGAGTGTCAGCTTGTGGACTGAAGGGTCCCGGGTTCAATTCCAGTCAAGGGCACATACCCAAGTTGTGGGCTCGGTCCCTAGTAGGGGGCATGCAGGAGGCAGCCAATCAATGATTTTCTCTCATCATCGATGTTTTTCTCTTCCTCTCTGAAATTTAAAAACAAAACAAACAAAAAAACACACCAAATATTAGATGGAGAGAGGCTCCTAGTGTTCTTACCACTTAGGAAACTGTAAGGGTTTTAGGAGCTCTGCTAGGAACTGGGGACAGATACTAATATATATTTTTTCTGTTATTTCACATTTGTGTGCACACACATCTTTTATCCCCATAGACTATAACTTAGGGGTTCTCAACCTTGGTGCTATTGATATTTTGGACCAAATAATTTGTTTTTGGGCCTGTCTTGTACATTGCAGGATTCTTTTTAGCAACATCCCTGGCTTCTACCCACTAGATGCCAGTAGCAAACCCCTCTCCTGACAATAAAAAAAAAATGTCTCCAGATCACCCTGGCTGGTGTGGGTCAGTGGTAAAGCATCAGCCCAAGCACAGGAGGGTCTCAGGTTTGATTTTCAATCAAGGCACATGCGGGAGGCAACCAATCAGTGTGTCTCTCACATTGATGTTTTTCTCTCCCCCACTCTGTCCCTTCCACTCTCTCTCAAAATCAATGGAAAAAATATCCTCCAGTGAGGATTAATCAAAAAAAGAAGTCTCCAGACCTTGCCTATTTTTCCCTGGTGGCAGAAGTCACTCCACCCCCAGCAGATGAGAACCACTGCAGTAGCTCCTGGAAGTCAGAGGCCTGGTCTTATAAATTCTGTATCCCCTAGAATGCATAGCACATCGTGAGCATTTTTGTTGTCCAAACAGTATCATTGCCTCATGAAAATCATTGCTATTATTTGTAAAGCTCACACTCTTTGTACTGTTCTAAGCTCTTTACATATATTAACTCATTTAATCCTCACAACAACTCTATGAGATAGGTACTATTTTTGTGCCCTTTTTAGAGTCAAGAAGCTAAAGTTCAAAGAGGTTAGGTTAGTTGCTCCAGTCACCTCGCTGGGGAGTAACTGGGATTTGAACCCTAACCAGGTAGTCCAGCTGCAGAATCTGGGCTCAACCATCTTGCTATCTGCTACTTTTAAATACAAAGAACAAAACTCAATTTGTAAAATAAGTCAGACATTCTCCATTGGTCTACAGAATCTGCATAGGCAAACACATGGTAAAAAATAAAATTTCCTTTTTGACAGAATAGAGCAAAGCATTTTGCAAAAATCTCCTGAATTGTTTCAGTGGATGCATCATAGTCTGTAAAACTAACATAGCCAGTCCTTTATTGGGCATTTTGGTTGTTGCTAATATTGTATCTGAAACATTATAATCAATTGTTTACTGCATATAAGTTATACTTCAAAAAATGTATCAAACATGTAAGGATACAGTTTGATACATTTCGACACATGTATAAACCCATGCTACCACCAACAATCAAGATGTAGAACAGAACATCTTAATCACTTTTGTTCCTTTCTGGAGTGGTGTACTAAAGCTGGCTAGTGTCCTGGTACCAGCTGGGAGAATCAGTTATGTACATTTCTCAAATCTGCATTTAGTGACATCACATCAGTAGCTCAAAATTGGCCAAGGTGGGAGTATTTACACCACAGAAATTGATCAAGTGTCACAAACCAGGGCTGACCTCCCACCCCTTTTTTTGACCCCGTATAGTCTGCCTGCATCCCCTGCCCCAGGCCTTCACCATCCTATTGCTTGTGTAAAAAAATTTTTTTAAATATATTTTTATTGATTTCTGAGAGGAAGGGAGAGGGAGAGAAATATCAATAATGAGAGAGAATCATTGATTTGCTGCCTCCTGCATGCCCCCTATTGGGGATGGAGCCCCCAACCTGGGCATGTGCCCTTGACTGGAATTGAACCCAGGACCCTTCAGTCCGCAGGCTGATGCTCTATCCACTGAGCCAAACTAGCTAGGGCTAAAAAAATTTTTTTAAATAAAATATAACCACTAACTTCAAAGGGTTGGAAGATCAAATTAAAGAAATATCCTAAAAAAAAAGCACCCTGAAAAATAGGCATTAAAATATTTTTTAAAGCTAGAGGTAGCCTAGGAGGACTAACATTTAACTAAGGAGAGTTCTAGAGAAATAGAAAATTGAAGGGAAGGCCATCATTGAAGGAATAATTCAAGATATAATCTCAGACCCAGCCACAGCCACGGTGGCTCAGTGGTTGAGCATTGACCTATGAACCAGGAGGTCATGGTTTGATTCCCGGTCAGGGCACATGCCCTGGTTGTGGGCTTGATCCCAGTTGGGGGCGAGGGGTGTGTGTGCAGGAACTAGCTGATCAATAATTCTCTCTCATCCTTGATGTTTCTATCCCTCTCCCTTCCTCTTTGACATCAATAAAAACATTTGAAAAAAAGAAATGATCTCCAACTGAAATCATCTCCAGAATGAGAGGCCCACATAATGGATGAAAAACAAATGAATTTCAGATCATTGAGTACACAGAGGAAAGTTACTAAAAATCTTCCAGAGAGAAAACACAGGTCACATGAAAAGGAGCAAAGGTCAGAGTGGTACCATGCTCCTCAGCCATACTGGAAGACAGTGGAGGAATGCTTTCAAATTATTACCTATAATTTTAGGAATTAGCCAAATTGTGAATTCAGTAAAGTAAGCACATTTTCAGATGTATGAAATCTTTTTTTTAAAGTATATGAAATCTTGAAAATTTTACTTCCTACCCATCTATCCTTTCTCAGGAAACTACTGGAGGATGTGGTGCACCAAAACGAGAAAATAAACTAAGAAACAGGAAGACATGTGGTCCTAGAAACAGGATATTCAACATAGGTGAGAAATGAAGAGAATCCCCAAGGTGATGACGAAGGGAAATCCTAGGGTGACAGACGGCCTGGCTCAGAGAGTGATCAGTCAGGATTGGGGCAGGAGGACAGAAGGCACCAGAATGGATGTCCCCAAGAATTAAATGAGATGAATAGAGGAAAAATGTACACTTTTGGTGATAGTGGAGAATAAATTCATTATAGGGACATGGAAAACTAAACAAATAAAAACCAATTTGTTATTAATAATTCTAAAAAATTGATTTTTTTAATAAACTGAAAAAGAAAGAAAGCTTAATTATAGAAGACTAAATAACTTGGCTGTGCATGGTATTTATGGAGGCATAATTATGTAAACAGAGTATATGGATGGATCTCCACTAATCCTAGCATTCCTGGGCTTGCTCCTTGCAGTCTGCATTCCAGCCAGCAGGGGCTGGCTCTCTGTTCTAACTATTCTGGGTTTCTTCTGGTTAAACAGGAATTGATTTAATTACATTCTATTGGAAAATTAATACATTAAGAAATTAATTGTTGAATTAAAATATCAATAAGAAAAATGGGTCTAAGCAAAAGGCTGTGGACAAAACTACACACACACACTTTATCCCCCCATTTTTGTACTAAACACCTGTAAAAGATTGTCTGAAGCTTTAAACTTGTGTTCTGCTAACTAATTTGAGAACTTTGATTTACCCAAACTATTTATACCCAACCTTCATCCTCTTATGGGGAAGTTAAGTTGTGCATATTTGAATCCAGCATATGTTAGCTTGACCCTTACCACATTATATTGCAAGTTTTTTGTGTTTTGTTTTTTTCCTAGTTCCGTTTTCTTTTTATTCACTAGCCTGTACTCAGTTCAAGGGCAAGTTCTTGTTTTTTCCCTCTGCAAGGTTCTGGCACCTAACACAGACAGACCTTGGCTCTCCTCTCCTTTCTCCTCTCCTTTCTCCTCTCCTCTCCTCTCCTCTCCTTTCTCCTCTCCTCTCCTCTCCTCTCCTCTCCTCTCCTCTCCTCTCCTCTCTCCTCTCTCCCCTATCGCTAACGCCCTCTACGCGGCAATCACAGGCACTTATGTATCAGGTGATATATGAAAAAATTCTCACGGGAGAAGCACTCTCCTCTCCTCTCCTCTCCTCTCCTCTCCTCTCCTCTCTTCTCCTCTCCCTTTCTTCCTTCCTTTCTTCCTTCCTTCCTTTCTTTCTTTTTTTTTAATCTAAGATTTACTGAGTCACCACAGAAACCACAATTTGAGATGGTGACCCCGTCTGATATCTGCAGGGCACTCAGTTACTCACCCAGCACTGTCACCTCTGTCTGCCTGACGCTGACACTGGTGTTTTTATCGCCTCTTCCACCCTCCCATTTTGCAAAGAGGACCTGAGTTCCTCAGAGTGCCTTGACCAAGGTCACACAGGTCAGTGTCGGAGCAGTATTCAGGCCTTCTTACACCCAATAATGCACATATACATTTGTATTTTTATATATTTACTTACATTTGTATACATGAAATGTATTTTAATCCTCACCTGAGGATATGTTTTTATTGATTGTAGAGAGAGAGAAAGGGGGAGGAAGAAAGAGAGAAACATTGATGTGAGAGAGAAACATCAATCAGTTGCCTCTTGTATGCACCCCACCTGGGGATTGAACCTGAAACCTAGGTATGTGCCCTGACCAGGAATTGAACCCACACCTTTTGGTGTATGGACAATGCTCCAACCAACTGAGCCACCTGGCCAGGGCACATTTTTATGTCTTATTTGAAGTTTAAAAAATTACCATTTTAACTGTTTTTAAGTACATAGTTCTAATGAACTATGTTAAGTATGTTCACATTATTGTGCAACAGATCTCCAGAACATTTAAATTTTTTTAAGTTATTTTTTAAAATAATTTTTATTTTTAAATTACAGTTGACATACAATATATTAGCTTCAGATGTACAACTCAGTGAATAGAAACCCACATAACTTACGATACTTAATAAATCCAATACCCATCCGGCACCATACATAGTCATTACAATATTATTGACTATTTCAGAACTTTTTCATCTTGCAAAATTGAAAACTCTATTAAACAACAACTCCCTGCCCGGCCTGTGTGGCTCAGTGGTTGAATGTCGACCCATGAACCAAGAGGTCACCAGTTCTATTCTCAGCCAGGGCACGTGTGGGGGTTGTGGGCTTGGTCCCCAGTGGGGGACGTGCAAGAGGCAGCCAATCAATGTTTCTGTCTCTCTATCCCTCTCCCTTCCTCTCTCTCTCTAAAATAAATAATTGAAAAAACCTCCACATTTCTCCCTCACCCCAGCCTCCAGCAACCTCCATTCTACTTCTGTTTCTATGAATTTGAAAAGTCTAGGTACCTTATATAAGATAAATCATACAGTATGTCTTTTTGTGATTGCCGTATTTCACTGAGCATAATGTCCTCAAGGTTCATTCATGCTGTAGCATGTGCCAGAATTTCCTTCCATTTTAAGGCTGAATAATAGTCCATTGTACATATGTACCACATTTTGTTTATCCATTCATTTGTCAACTGACACAGGTTGCTTCCACCTTTTGACTATTGTGAATAATACTGCTGTGAGTAGGATCCTTGAGATCCTGCTTTCAATTCCTTTGGGTATATACCCACAAGTGGGATTTAAATTCTCCATCTAATTCTAAAAATGAGCCCCTGTTGGAGTGGTTGAATTGGTTGAGCATTGGGCACCGAAAGATTGCCAGTTCAATTCCTGGTCAGGGCACATGCCTGGGTTGTTGGTTTGATCCCCAGTCTGGGAGCATATGGAAGGCAACCAATCGATTGATGTTTCTCTCTCCCTTTGTCTCTCTAAGCAGGTCCTCGGGTGAGGATTTAAAAAATAATAATTCTAAAAATGATTTGAGGCCACTATCCCAGCACCTTCATTGATATTTTTAAAATGTTCTGAATCTTGAATTAATGAATAAAGGGGCCAGAATGGAACAGAGGCGACAATGGAAAGGAGGAACCTAACAGAAGTCTTTGCTGGAATAAATCTTTTCACCTTTACCCTTGAGAAGTAGCTGCAAATAGACTTAGATCCATCAGAGGACTGGAGTGGCCAACCCTTGTTTTCTCATCTACACAAAGGTCTCCTAACATCCCAAAGTTACATTCAAACAGAGTAAGCCCTATCCATGTGAAAAGGTCACAAAGGAGGGGACACAGTATTCATAAGATCTGGTCTACATGGGTAAAGGATACAAATTCAGGATATTCTAGGCCGGTCACATGAACTTCACAAAGGATCCATCCAGGCAGAGTGTGACTGTGGCATAATATGCTGGTCACCTCCAGACATTTTTTTTAATTTAAATTTTTTATTTTTTAAAGTATTACATAAGCCTCCTTTCCCCCCATTGACCTCTCCCTGGCCACCCCCACCCACTACCTCCAGACATTTTTAAAAGCCAGATCTGATTTTCCTAAAGTTGGAAACCTGGATTTTTCTCCAACTGTATGTTAAGCACTGTTGTACATGTTGGGGATACGGCGGAAATAAAAACAGACCAAAATACGAGTTCTCATATTTAATTTAAGTTTTTTATTTTTTAAAGTATTACATAAGCCTCCTTTCCCCCCATTGACCTCTCCCTGGCCACCCCCACCCACTACCTCCAGACATTTTTAAAAGCCAGATCTGATTTTCCTAAAGTTGGAAACCTGGATTTTTCTACGAAATATCTTGATTTTTAAAAACTGGATTTAAATTTTCAAAAAGATTTTAACAGCAATGCATAGATTTAAAAAAATAAAAAATAAAAGCAAGTTTGTAACGTCTGGTGTGCAGCAGTGTGAAGCATTTGTGGTAGTCAGTGACCTCTGGGGAGGAGGCGTGCCTGGCTTGTTTGACCAGAGCTGGGAAGAGGGTTGTGGTGATGCAGTGTAATCAAATGCCTACACCTGCCAAAGCTCTGCCCTTCTGTACTCAGGTAATGTTTAATGCGTTGCAGGCAGAGTGGAAGTGGCCAAAATGAACCAAGTTCTCCATGGTAGTATAGCAATGCTGGTCAGATCTTTCATCCATTCTGAGATTTGGTTGAGCCTACTTCACAGAATCATTGTAAGATTAAACTGTCACGAGAGAAACCAAGATGGCGGCATAGGTAAACACCGGAAATTGCTGCCTCTCACAACCACTTCAAAACTACAACTGAAAGACAAAATGGACATCATCCAGAACCACAGGAAGGCTGGCTGAGTGGAAATTCTACAACTAGAAGGAAAGAGAAAAGCATACCGAGGCTCAGAGGAGGTGTGGAAGTAAAGTGCAGAGGTATGGAGGCGCACACTGAAAGGGCTGGCAACTGAGGACTCGGCGCGTGTGGAGAGGGCTGGCGGCTGAGGACACGGTTGTCTTTTTCAATCGGGAGGGAGTCTCAAGCTCCCGACTGCTCTGAACTGCAGTTCTGGGCGAGTCTCTGGGGACCCAGACTCATACAGGGAGAAACTGGACTGTCTGGCATCGGTTGGAACTTGAGGGCGGCTTTCTCTCAGAGGTGCTTGCAGCGATTACCCGGACACTGAGACGCGGGACCTCTTAGGGTAGGACTGAGGATCTGCCATAGCTGTTTGCTCCGCCCTGTTGATTCCCTGAGACTCCGCCCCACCCAAGCTGTGCGCAGAGGCTTTTTATATGAAAGGCCTGGCCCTTTGCAATCTGAAAATTACCTAACAAACTGAAGCTGGGTCAGAAAGACACAGAACTTCCAAAAGAAGGCCCAAGGCCCCACAGCAGCTTGCATTGCTTCACAGCAGGGCCTCATCTGGGCACCTCCAAATCCCAAACAAAGAAGAGAAATCTGCAGATCTCTCCATAGCTCCTGCTGGGTAGCCACAGGCAGAGGCTAAATTAGCACCTCCTTAGAGATCCAAGGGCCAGTGTACCCAGTGGTCGGAGTGGGACCGATCAGATTAAAACTCCTCAGATCCATAAGGGACACACTCAGGGGGCAGACTCAGTGAGCACCAAAGCCCCACTGAAGCAAATCTTGCCCCAGAAGGGTGTCTCCAGTACAGAAGTTCTCCCACTGTAGACACAGCTGATTCTCACAGCCAATTGGCCTGGAGGTCAATTCCTCCCAGTGATACCTACAACAATCAAGGCTTAACTACAACAAGACTGTGCACAAAGCCCAAAAAGGGGTGCACCAAGAGTGTCCACCTCAGGTAATTGGGGAGGCTGAGCCACTGGGCCCTATAGGACACCTAGCACAGAAAGCCACTC